TTTTTTTTTTTTTTTTTTTTTTTGGAAAACAACCTGATCGGATGCTAGGTGTGCTGATAAGAGCAGACACATCTAGCACCGTCGGGGTGGCTCCATCTATTGGTGGGGAACAGCACCTGCTGGAAATCGGGTCCAGCGTCCCCTGGATACATCTTTGTGGTACAGTGATTGTTGGGCATATGGCCATTAGAGTCATTTTCCTGAGCTTTCTTCTCTCCCCCAGTGCTGCATATGTTACCCTCCCAAATTGCAAAGCTCACACTACCCACTAGCCCAGCCCCACCCAGGGTGGTGTCCGCCGTGCTTCAATGTCTACGCTTCTCCTGCCAATAGTAGCTAAACTCCTACCCATGGTGTTTGCAGCCCCCCTGCTGCGTCCTAAGCCAGTTGCCCACAGGACAACTGTGTTCGGTTGGTTGTAGCCCGAGTCTGACAAACACTATTCCTTGAATACTCATGAAGCCAAATCATATTCCATTTGTACGTGGACCGAGTTGGAGTCCTCGGTCCGAGTTGTACCATATGAGACTATAACAGTTCTGTTTCGCGCGGCCATTGAATATGGGCGTCATTGCATGTGGCTGTGTCCACTGTTTTCGAGTCTGACCCTGGCTGTCGGGGTATGGCCTCTGCGCAGGACTGCAATCGAGCCGTCTCGATCTGGGCAGCATATTGTAGCCTTCCTAACCCATAAACCCTAAACCCTAAGGACCGCGACAACTCCTACAGTAGTTCATGCATTGTGTGACCCGAAAACAGTACTTCTTGATTCTGAGAGCGTATTGTAATCCCCCTAGCCCCCAACACGAAACCCTGAGGACCGTGGCTGGTGCTATCATCACAGATGCCTGTGACCCTCAGAGTGTGTAAGCCCTAAACCCTAAGGACCGCGACAACTCCCTAACGCCACAGATTACAGTAGTTCATGCATTGTGTGACCTGAAATCAATACTATTTGGGTCTGGGAGCGTACTGCAGTCCCCCCTAGCCCCCAACCCAAAAACCCTGAGGACCATGGTTGCTGCTATCAGCACAGATGCCTGTGACTTTCACATTATGTAGGCAGCCACCCTTGTCTTGTTAATCCGCTGACCCCTTCCTGGGGTGGGACTCCGGTCTGCGGCTGCAGTTTCTCCACTTCTGACTATCCAACTTCTTCGAGGTGACGTCGTTGCCCCTTCCTTCTGCTGCGTTGTGAAAGGATACGAAAGAATGTTAGACTGTCAGCAATGCGGGAGTGGGGGCAGGGTGGGGCAGGGCAACGCTGGAGATAGCCGGGGATAGCAGGAGGACAGACGGGCGAGGGCGTGTGCGGGGGCGGGTTGAGGCCTAAGAGACGAGCAGAAAGTTGGTCGGAAGGAACGGGACCTGAAAGTCGCACAGGGGTTTCCTCTGCCAGGCCAGCTCCCCTGCTCGCCATGGTTTCCATTCTATGTTGAGATCGTGTTGTAGTGCAGAGAAGAGATGGTGGGGGTCTTGCCATATTTGGCAATACGATTCCCGAATGGCCTCCCTGAGGATTGCATCCTTCTCTTCGTGGTACTCTCGTGACATGGTTTTCCAGGCATTTAGGGTATGGGATCTGATTTCGTCCTCTATCTCCTGCTGCGCTCTTTGCAAACCAAACTGGTGGTCTTTTCTCTCATAGGAGCATCTCGCCCTCCAGGCTTGCATGAGGACATACAGCCTCGTATATAAGAAGAGGTTAACTGCGAACGGAGACCAGTTTGCAAGCAGATGCTGGTGTTCGCCGAGGAGGATGAGACCAAGGTCCCATGGTATGCGGTGGTCCATCAACGAGAAGAACGCTACTTCCCACCACCTCCATATCTGAGCCGCCATTGGGCAGGCCAGGAGGTAGTGCTCGAGTGTTGCCCTGGCAGGCTGTGTGGCCCGACAGCAGTACGTGCAGATGGGGGACAACAGTCCTTTTTGCTTGAGGTTTGTTCTAGAAACAATCCAATCGGGGGTGGGGAGACAACGGTGTAAGACTTGCCATTGCAGGGACCTGAGGCTCGTGGGCATGAGCTTAGCATATTTGGTCCAAGGGAGGGTGTGCAGCAGCTGTGGGTCAAGTGGTGAGTCCCGTTCCCATCTGTGCAAGAGCGTTTTCGCAATCTGTTGTGGAGGCCGGGCTGCCTTATACCCTCCTTTGACCGTATAATCCCAGATATGCAGGCTTTGTTGGCCCGTCCATTCCCATTCATCCGGGTCAAATGGGAGCAGAGCCACGGGTGTGGCCGGCTCATACGCCTGGAATCCTTTGACCTGGTCCCCCACCACTCTGATATTAATCAATCCAACCCACGAATCTGTATTGTCAGAGTCCGCATCCCGGTTGAGTTGGGATAACCACTTCCCCGGGGCGTGCAGGGCAAAGGCTTCCAGTGTGCAGTTCCCCCCGTTTCTGTCGCTAACTCTGTACACTTTATCCGGTTGTGGCAGATCAACATGCCTGACCACCCAATCGTGCGGGCAAATCATCGGGCCTGTTTTGAGAGTTTGCTGCCAGGCCAGTGGAAGTGCATCGACGAGTTGGCGAGCCTTGTCTTCGATATTCCTTACATGTTTTAGCTTTGCACGCAGGCTGGCCGGCGAGAGCCATTTCTGTTCGACCTGATCCAAGAGGTCACCCACTGTATAGATMCCTTTTTTTGCCCAGACCAGCCACGGCGAGTTGGTTGTGAGTACAAAGGGGTCCCCCTCTTCATTCAGGATAAARGGGTTTCCGARTAGTGGYTGCCGCCACACAGTGTGYCACCTGTYAGGKGTGCGCTTTTGTTTGGGGCCTCGCTGCCTCCATAACTTAATCATGGTCGTCCAGAGGGGGTCATTGTGAATGTCCTGCCTGGTGGCATGTGCTGCACCACCGGCTTGTGACTGTCGGCGAGGGTTTGGGATCGACCAGTGGTTATTGGTGAGCCATCGGAACAGATGTATGTGACTGGGGGGCATTGTGTCCGGCGCCAGTCCAACTATCTATATGCAGGCCAGAGGTCCCCATGGAATATCGTTCCCTACAAGGAGTCTGGTTAATACTTTAAACATCATAGCTTCAGTCTCACTCTGAGGGTCAAGTATCCCCATCCCTCTTACAGATCTCGGTTGTGTGAGAGTATCCCATCCGACCCTATCCAAGCACCCGTCCTCTGTTGCGCTGTTCTTCCATAGATATGTTGCG